TATATAGATACAAAATAAAGAAAGTGAAGTTATTTGCATGTTCCCGTATTTGGATTTAAAAGAAAGAAACACTGGCCCTAGCCGGGTTGGCTCAGTGGCTAGAGCATCAGCCTGTGGACTGAAGGGTCCCAGGTTAGATTCAGGTCAAGGGCACATGATGATTGTGGGCTCAGTAGGGGGCATGCAGGAGGCAGCCAATCAATGATTCTCTCTCATCAGTGATGTTTTTATTTCTCTCATTCTCTCCATTCCTCTCTGAAACCAATAAAAACATATTTTAAAAAATTAAAATAAAAAAAACCCCACTGTATTCACTTACTTAAAAATACCCATTATTGCTTCCTATGAGCTAGACATGATGCAAGGAACGAGAGGATACAATAGCAAGCGGGCCTGGTGTCTGCCCTCCAGGAAAACATTCGTTTTCTATCAGACAAGATTGATATGAATCAAGTAAAACTACGTTAAATATATTGTCACCTCTATGATAAGTACTAGCCTTTTGGCATATGTAACAGGACTGTTGGTTCTGGGACAACTGAATCTTAGATAACGGGAAGGCTGAGTAGGAGTTAAATGGATGAAACATGAGCGTGAGGGTAATAACTAAGAAAAATCTTTCCAGAAGGAGAGATTGCTTTTTCGAAAATTCTCAAGTGGAAAGATACATGATTTCTTTAAAGACTGGACAAAGGGAGCGTGGCAGCTGATGAAACTGAAGAGGTAGACAAGGGACCAGATCAAGCCAGGCCTTTCGAGTCAGAGCTGGCTGTCTTTCCTGTTCAGGCAAGTGGAAGCCACTGAAGTATTTTAGTCCCCAGAGTGACACAATTAGGTTTATGATTTAAAAGTTCAGCCCTGTCTGGTGTGGCTCAGTTGGTTGGGCTTAATCCTGTGCACCAAAAGGTTGCCAGTTCCCTTCCTGGTTGGGTCACATGCCCAGGTTTGCAGGCTCAATCCCCACTAGGGGGCGTGCAGGAAGCAGCTGATTGATGTTTCTCACATAGATATCTCTCTCCCTCTCCCTACCTCTCTCTCTAAAGTAAATAAAAACATATTTTCAAAAATAATAAAGTAAAAGTTCAGTTATCATTGTGACTTAGTGATTCTTAAGTCTGGCTCACATAAGAATCATTGGGGTGGCATAGGGCTCAACATTTAATGCTATTGTCTGGTTCCTATTTTAGTCCAGTAGAGACATAATCTTCTGGGGCAGGCCCCCAGCTCTGATCATCTTTAAAGCTCCCTCCAGATTCTAGGCTTGAGAATCCCAGATGTAGACCATGTAGAGGATGTGGCTTAAAAAGATCACTTGTGATACAAGCACTCCAAGCTGGCCTCTCAGTATGACCCAAGGTTACTGCGCCCCAAACTCATATTATCAGGAATTGCATTACTAGAAGTATATTTCCTAAATGAGAGAGGGAATTGTTCCTCTGTCCCCCCAGAATTAGACACAGCACACCTGAAAAGTTTATTCACCTCTCAGCACCAAATTTTACAAGGAAATTAGCTAACCTGAAACATTCCTAGAAGAAAACAAACCAGATAATAATAGGAATCTAGACCATAATGAAGAGAAATGACTCAATAGTATGGGATATGTTAAAACAATAAGTGAAAATATGGTAGGAGGTGAAGCCGACAAAAACCCTTGTCCTCAGAGCTCATATTCTATTTTAGAATGATCCTTAAGGTCAGACTTTTTCACTGCACTTTATGATTAGCAGCTATAGAATCTGTGTGTGTTTATAGGGAGCTATATTTTAATGATTAACTTTAGAACATCAAAAGTAGAAATCTCTGAAAAGCAAAGACGTTAACAGCTATGGAAGAATTCCAGTACGGGTAGCCCTCATAGAGAGTATTCAGAATCCAATGGCAAGGATTAAAGGTGTAGGAAGGAGATTGATGAGTGATCTAGCCCTTGATGAACACCAAATATTACAGTATTAAATACTAGCAGTACTTATATAGTTTGAGCATTGGCTATGTGCTAATCACTTTGCTAAGTGCTTTATTGTGCATAATCTCATATAAAGGCTTATACACTCATTACACAGATGAGGAAAAGGAAAACAGTATCCAGCCATCATTTTTAAAAGTTAAAGGCATTTACTCCTACATATATAAAGTGAAAATATGTCAAAGATGTGATTTGACATATTTATTGGTGACATGTGATGGTAAGACTGGTGCTGAGAGCATTTGAGGAGCTCCTTGTTTTAGGGGCATTAATAAAGGAATGTTGGCACCAGTTTGCTAGACTAGGTACAAAACTGGCTAATGTTTTATAGTGCAATGCACCATCTATGTGGGATTTATTTTTCTACTGGGGAGAAATAATTTGTCTCTTTAACAAACTGAAGTCTCCAAGGTAACATGCAACTTGACTAAATCTGGGGTCTCTCTATATTCAGTAGTAAACAGTGAATTAAACAAAGCGCATTTCCCATAAGTAATTCTTAAAATGGCATGTTAATTGCCACACATGCCTCTGAAAGAACACGACAAGCTCTGGGTATTATTTTCAAGTTTTGGATCATTTTTGTTAACATTAGGAGAGAGAAGTAACTTTTCAGGACTTTCCAGCTGGTAGTATTGAAGCTGGGTCTCAAACAGCCGCACTGAATGAGCCATGTGGCCAGTATTTGGGGAGATGCTGGGGGAGCACCCTTTACATCCCATCACCATTGTTCTGCTTTCATATGAGTCTGAGCCTGGTTTTTCCAGTTAGGTTTGTTTGTGTTTTTAATTCATTACTAAGACACTTGTTACCCATTCAAAATGAACTATTCCTCCTCTTTTATTCCCCCCAAAGTAGCTGGACACACCAAACATGATTAATAAGTACAGAGTGGTTCTTAAATCAGGCGCTACTGTCAACTCTAAGACCAAGGCTCTGGAACCCCAGATAGAAATAGGAGTCGTTAGAATTTGTAGCAGCTATTTTCTCAGTGAGACTTCTTCCTCAGCTGATGGGATTTGTTGTTGCTGTTGTTAATTTTGGAGGTTGCAGTTACCAAACATGGGGATTGCAGTTGTTAATGGCCTGTTTTTTAGAATGGTAACCTTGAGTCCTTCAGGTTTGGAGAGAGATTTTGGTTCTCTGCAATCGGTGCTTTGTTCGGCCTCATGTACTTGACAGCAGGTATGGTGTCACTCTTTTCCTTCCTTGTGATTTAATCTTGAGGAAAGACTTCAGTGTTATGTTTAGGAAATAAATGAAAAGGGTAGCTGTGCTTCATGTTCCACGAAGGCATTAGGACACTTGCCTGTTTCCAAGGTGATAGGGCCCCTGTGACTTTAAGGGGGCAGAAAAGTAACCCATCGAATAGTTTATTCTAGGAGCTCTAACGAGATGTAAGAGTGCAGTTGCAGTTTAGCTTTTAGGTAAGAGAAAGGGTTTGGTTTTTGCTTCATTGAAAGAACACTAAACTGAAATTTATTTATAGGTACTGTAATAAATACTTCACATGGATTATCTCAACATATCCTTAACAATTCCATGAGTTAGTTCCTATTATTCTCCCCATTTTATGGATGAGGATATTGAGGTCCAGAAGGTTAAGCAAGCTGAGTAGGATTCACAGACAGAGCTAAAATTAGACCCAGGACAACCAACTAGTTACAAGCCTACCCCTGTGAAGGTTACATGATATTACCCGCCCCCCCTCTCCCAAATGCTGCTGGGATTAAAAAAAAAGCATATAGAAAATTAACCCAAATCCCATTTTATAGCCTCAACTCTGGCATTAACTGTCTTTGCAACTCTGGACGAGCCATCTAATCTGTCTGGGCCTGCATATCCCTCTGTAACATGAAGGGTAGAAGCACTTTTGGTAGGATGGTCTCTGGGGTTCCTTTCAACTCATAAGTTCTCTGATTCTGTAATTGCATCCTGACCTTAGAGGGGCACATGGTCCCTTCCCCCACACACATACACTCACTTCATCCCAAGGCAAAAATCTAATCCTGCCAAAAGTGCCCGTTGCAATTGGATTCTAAACTCAAGACCCCACCGAATCCTATTATCCACAACAGCCCCTCGGGAACACACCACACTTTTACAATCTGGGCAGCCCCATCTTTAAAATAAGTTGCTAATGGGGTGGACTATTAGGAAGTAAAATATTAATACCGAAAGAAAAAAGTCAAAACAGATGAGGCTCTCCCTTTACATCATCTCTATTCTACAGTGTTACCTTGACAACTCAGCTTCGGCTGTTTAGATATTGGGCTTTCAGTGTGGGAAAAGGAGAAGAGGGGTGTCTGTCCTCTTCGTACCTGTAGAGATTTCCTCTCGTTTCATGGAAAAATGAAATGTCAAAGGTAGACCGCAAGGTCCAGCAGAATGTACACAGGACATCTTGGTGGAGGGTCATCCAGAAATAATCACAGGGGCACAGAATGAGGACACATTCTGATTGAAGGTACATTCTTTTCTCTTTTCTCTTTCCTATAATCATAACACACAGCAACAGCCTGTAAAACTTTAGTCACATTTTTGGACCAGCACAGACATAGAGCAGAGACCAGCCAAAGTGCCTGAAAAACAATTGCATTATTTTTAGTTGCAGCGGCCATAGATGCACACACCAGGATGGGGGCACAATTCTCAAGTGCTGAACCAGCCTGGAAACACTAAAAATATTACTCCCTCCAGTCTGTGACATTGTGAGTGAAGACTGAGGCAACGCAGGGAGCGAGTCCACATTAGACTTCATGACTCCTAGCTCTAATAGGCTTGTTGTCAGGACCAGCAAGGGCTCAAAGGGCTGAAGGGGGGGGGGGGGGGGGCGAGGAGGGGGGAGGGGGGGGGCGAGGCTCAGAAAAAGTGAATAGAAGAAGCAAGTCCTACAGGGGCGATGTTGAGCAGAAGAAAGAGAAGATGTCTCCAGCAGCTAGCCCCACCGAGCTGAGCCTGCGTGGAGAATGGCTGAGAAATCCAAACTGGTTCTAGAAGCAGTGCCCCTGGTGGTTGTGAGCCCAACAGACGCCATGGGCGCTGTTGCAGGGGAGCCGGGCCGGGCCGGACACATGTTTCCCATTGATAGCTGGAGACAGCCCAGTAGCTCCGCGTTGGCCTGACAAAGCCGTATTGAAGTGCAGACAGAGTACAGTTTCAAAGCAGGCAGAAAGAGAGCGGGAATGCTGTTCAGGAAATTCTTCAGGCATGGGCAGGGCCTTGGCTGCAGTTCCACAGTTGGAAAATCTGACTGGGGCAGCTCCTGAACACGGGCTGGGCCTGCTCGCACTCGGCAGGCCCCGGCCGCCTCCGTCACAGCCTCTCAGCACACCCCGGACCGAGGGCCATTTCACAGCTGCCTGGGAAGCAGACGAGAGAGGTAGGGGGCTGCTGGGTGCTTGCATGTCCACGCCTCTCTTCACTTCCTAAGCCTGCTGTTTGTTTGCACGGACTCCGACTTCCCAGGGCGTGTGTGTGTGTGTGTGTGTGTGTGTGTGTGTGTAAGTTAGAACTCCATCACTTACACATGTGGCGTGGACTTGGGATCTTTCCTTCCCCCCACTCCCTTCAAGATCTGACTTTCAGCGGCACTGAGACGCTTCTGAAAGCGGGGGGTGAGGGGGCAGCTCAGTGTGAAAAAAGAAAAGTATGTGATGTGTGTGTTGTCACCCGGCTCCCGCCTTCTGGAACTTTGCTGTGTGGAAGGACACTTCATTGGCAGGAAAGATCATTTTAAATGAAATTGTCTGTGTGCTTTGCTTCATGAGAGTTGTTAGAGGAGTGTTTTGTGTTTTTCTTTTAGCAGAAAATGGCTCTCATTTCGGGAGGGAAGTGGGGTTTGAAGTTTCTATTTTGGATGACACTTGCAGAGTGCAGGAGCAGATGTGTGTCTGTGTGTTCCTGGCATCTTCTTCTTATTATAGGAGGTTGTGACAGTCATTGAAGGAGCCCATTGATAGATTTGCCTAGTAATATGCTGGATCAAGATTTGTATTTGTTTGTATAATAATTTTTACTTTTTCTGAGTTTTACTCTCAAAAAATACTTCTACATTTTCTGAAATATAGATCACTAAAGAGTAAGAGAAAACAGTCATTTACTCAAAATCATTGTTAAAAGATGGAGACATAATGGTATGAATTTTATTTTATTGATCAATTGATTTCCTTTTACACCTTACAAAAGAGTGCCTTTTTTAAAAATCAAATTTTAAATAATCCTTGTCACACATATCAGCTATAATGCAATATAGATGTTTACTCCCCTAGGTAAGCTATAGCTTATTCTCTTTGCAATTATAAAATATGCAGAATAATGCAATTGCATCTAAGAAACTGGTCCAGCTGAGAAAGAGGTCGACTAAATTTCACTACAGTGTTGTGATTCCTGGCAGGGCAATCTGTGACAGCAACGGTGTTTTCCAAAGGGGTTTTGGCCAAGAGTCTGGTTGGGAGAAGAGATGAATGAATGGATTCTTGGATACTTCTTGAATAGCAGAATATTAGGAGCTAGGCCTCTTAGGGTGGGCCTCTATAAAAACAGGTGTGTGTTCGCTTCCGTTCTAAAATCTCTCAACAAGTAGCTAATAGTACAGAGTAAGGTTAATGGGTAAATGAAGAGTGTGTTTTTTATATCTTTCTCTGTGTACGACCTAGGATGAGTGGGCGGACACTGTGTCCTATTGGTGGAACTTGATTTTCAGCCAGCAATTTTATTTTCTCCACGGAGGGAATGGGGCAGCAGGATTTTTGAGTCTAAAAGATGGTGCACAACCGTTTTCTTCATCAGCCTCATCTTTGGGTTGGGCTGGGCAGGGAAGGGCTTGTGAACTGCAGGACAGGGAACAAGAAAGGCATGCAGTGAGAAGTCGGGAAAGACAGTGACTACACTATGTTTTTCTCAAGTGCCTACTGGGCGAGCAAAATGCCAAGACAGATTAGGAAGCCACATGAGCCATGGCCTAGCCCATTGCCAGTGCAAGCGGAGCCTCCGTGAGCTCTAATGTCATACATACTCTTCTAAATTTAGTGCACCCCAAACCCCGAGCAGAACAGGCAACTCCGTGTTGCAGGATTACGTGCAGCCATGCCTAAAACTTGGAAGAACCTCTCTAGTTTCCCTTTTTTGGCAATATGAGAGGAAAATAAGTGAGGCCCTCCCGGCGTTTGAAGAGAGATAGCCGGAGTGGAGGGTAGGGAAGAAATCCAGGGCAGAGGTGTGTGCAACAGGGACAGAGGAGTGGCCATACCACACACTGGGCAGTGAGGACAGAGTGAGGAGATCTGTGTGTAGGAGCGAAACACACTCTAGAAACAACACAGAGCAGCAGGCACTGATTTGTTTGACTGGACGTGTGTGGATAAACCATGGCCTCAGTGAGGAAAATGGTTTTACCCTCCTCACTGTAGGAGGCCCCCTGGTCAGTCTGCCCTGCTCTGCCTTCTGGAAGTAATCAGAAAGCACATTTTGTAAGATTGGCATCGTCCGAAGGTTCAGATTTCCTAAGCGGGGCGGGAGCAGGCTCTTAAGGCCTTATTTTTAACCCACATTTGTTCCATCCAGTGATCCAGTGATATTCCTGCTGGAGAGGGGGTGTCGCGTGAAGGGACCTGCTGGACTTAGGTGAATGATCGCAGTGGGCAAAGTGGGTTCCAGGCCCTGCTCCTGGACACTTCAGTATGAAGACAAACTTCCGAAAGGGATACAAAATGGTGTATATGTCTTATCCTAGTGAATTTATTCAATTTTTTATTTTCTTTTTAAAACCACCGCCAATGGCATGTACCACGTTGTTGCTGAAAGTGTTTAATATCTGTTTCATAATATAAGGAAGTTCTTAGCATCGAGGATTTTGCCATCTGGGAGGGATTTGGCTACCCTGTATTCAGAATTTCTTGAGTTTGAGGAATATAGTGACCCCTTTTAACAGGACTGGAAAAAAGATCTGTTCCTCCATTGTTGATTCAATCATTTGTTATGTTGTTATTTGTTTATACCATTTTCTTGTTCATAGAGTTTATTGGGGTGACCTTGGTTAATAAAATTATATAGGTGTCACGTGTAAATTCTATAATACATCAACTGCGTATTGTATTGTGCATTTACCAACCCAAGTCAAGTCTCCTTCCATCACCATTTATGCCCCCTATACTCTCTTCTGTCTCCCCTTACCCCTTTCCCCTCTGGAAATCACCATACTGTTGTCTGTGTCTATGAGATTTTTGTTTGTTGTCTTAATCGTTTTACCGTTCTCATACAGCCCTGCCACTACCTTCCCTCTGATAGCTGTCAGTCTGTTTCTATTTTGTTTATTTTGTTCATTAGATTCCACATATAAGTGAAATCGTATGATACTTGTCTTTCCCTGACTGGCTTATTTCACTGAGCATAATGCTCTTCGAGTCCATCCATGCTGTTGCAAAGGGTTTTTCATCCACTCCTCTATTGATGGACACTTGGGCTGCCTCTAAATCTTGGCTATTGTAATAATGTTGGAATGAAATAGAGGTGCATATGTTCTTTCAAATCAGTGTTTCAGATTTCTTCGTATATATTCCCAGAAGTGGAATCACTGGGTCATAAGGCAGTTCCATTTGTAATTATTTTTAGGTAAATCCATACTACTTTCCACAGTAGCTGCACAAATCTGTATTCTTACCAGCAGTACATGAGGGTTCCCTTTTTCCACATCCTCACCAACACTTGTTCATTGATTTATTGATGGTAGCCAATCTGACATGTGTGCAGCGATATTTCATTGTGGCTTTAATTTACATGTCTGTGATGATTAGTGATGTTGAGCATTTTTTCATATGTCTATTGGCCATCTTTATGTCTTTTTAAAATATTATGTATTTATTTCAGAGCAGAAGGGAGATGGAGAGAGAGATAGAAACATCAGTGATGAGAGAGAGAATCATTGATCGGTTGCCTCCTGCCACTCTGGGGATTGAATCCCATGTTACATATGTTGGCTCAATACTAGCTGGTGCCATGCTAGAGGAAGTAACATGGCAATGGACTCTTACTGTTCAAAGGGCCCTCAGGAATCACCTGGTTCCATGGTTTCTCAAAACTTCTTAAATCAAATTTTTTGAGGTTAGAGTAGGGGAATCCCTATATTATTAAAAGCTCCCTGAGAGATTCTGTTGAAGCCAGCCAGACACTGGTCCACAGAACTGAGTTTGTTTAACACTGTCGTGGCTAAACTATTATTGACTGCAGGGGTGCCATTTATAGCATTGCTAACAGATGCCAGCCAGATGTGATGACGGAGACCCTTCCTGCACTGGGAGGCAGCTTGTGGTGTTGTTTCTCAAGTCAAGCCTCCTCAGATTGGGCCAAATTTGTATCTCTGTACTTTCTTTGTAACCCATAGCCATTGTCATAGTAGTTTAAGCCACATTTGAGGGTGTAGTGGTAGTTAGTGCAGAAGTGAGGAGAAGAGAAGGAAATATAGGTAGAGGTGGCCAGGAATACTGGGATGCATCCTTAATCCACTGAAAGCTGGATCTCAGCTTTCCCATCTGTGAAATGGGATCAGATGCCTCTAAAGTGTTTTCCGTTTCTCACAATACATGATTTTTGTAATTCTAAGGCTCTTCCATTTCTTTTTTTTTAAATATATATTTATTTCAGAGAGGAAGCCAGAGAGAAAGGGAGAGATGGAAACATCAATGATGAGAGGAAATCATTGATCAGCTGCCTTCTGCCCCCCACCCCTCAACTAGGAAACGAGTCCACAACCCAAGCATGTGTCCTGACAGGAAATTGAACGGTGAACTCCTGGTTCATAGGTCAACACTCAACCCCTGAGCCACACCAGCCAGGCAAACTCTTCCATTTCTTTATGAATACCTTAGTCTGGGCATCTTGAGTTATTTTATCTACCCTTATCTTTTTCTGTGCTATTCTCTTTCTTTTTCTCTAAACACATTCCAGTTAACCTCCTCCTGAGAAAAATGTAGTTCTCTGAACTCAATTCCAGTCATCTGACCAGTACTTGTTCCCGAATAAGACAACATACATCTATTAACCTAAGGGGAAGAGGGTGATGGTCAGGGAGAAAGCACAGCAAGAAAAAAGAATGTGGTAATCTAGTAGCAGAAGGAGAGTGTTTGTACTGTGACCTGAGCCCCGGCTCTGAGCCTGGGCTGTGATCCTAGCTGTGTGACCTTGGGCAGGTCACTTCATCTCCATGTGCCACAGTTGTATCATCTTGAAAATGGACATGGTAGTATGGACCCCATAGTGTGTTGTGAGATTGTGCACGTAAGGCACGTAACATGAAAAACTTGAGTATTTTAGCTTTCTATACTTTAGTATTGACTGAGATGGCATGAGGCAAAGAATGAAATAAGCAGATAAGATAAAGTGAGA